CTAAATACCACAATTAATCGTGAGTTTTTTCTGCCAATATTGCACAACCCTACAATCACCTAGAATTTAAATAAATTCATTTGTACATTTACAAGTGAGAGATTTCCTCTTGAACATGAACTCAGCAAGGAAAGGTTCAATTTTATAGGGCTGCCACGATTTATCGATTAGTCGTCGACTAATCGATTATTAAAATAATCTACAACTAATTTAATAATCGATTAATCTTTTTTTTGTTCTTTAGTTGGTTTTTCTCTCCAAACTGCTTTGACACCTTCCACTGCCACATCTGCCTTTCTGTCCTTGAAACACATGCACAGTAGTGGTAACTGGGGTAGGTCGTGGACGTCACAAGACATTATACAGACAGGCTCTGGTATCATGGCTACCTGACAACAGAGCTCAAAAGTGTGGGATCAATTTAAGAAAATGAAAGAGAAACCTGTGCAATATCTGCAAGGCAGAACTTGCCTTCCACAGCAGTTGTTTTTAGTTAGCATTTAGCTAAAATCTAACAATGGTTATATGACAGCAGCTGCATTGTGGCGTGATAAGCTGTATGTTTTATATTCAATTAAGATATGATCCGATTAGTCGACTAATCGAATAAATAATCGGTGATTAATCGATTATAAAAATAATYGTTTGTGGCAGCCCTAGTTCCGAATTATTTTTCTTTCAGTCCTTTACTCTTAAGTTCACAAAACTTGTTTCAAAAACTCATCAGGATCAGCTCATTGTTTATTTACGATGATTTTCTTTGTTATTGATTTTAACAGTTTTGTATTTATCAGTTTTACTAATTTGGAGGGGTCGTGATAAATGAACGTTGGGACAAGATGCCTTTGGAAATAAAGTGGAAAATGATCTTTTTATAAGTTTATTATGTTTATTAAATTTAAATTAGCAGACTTAATGAGCTATTCTGACTCATTGTGTTTTAATTTATATATTTTTATTTGACAAGTCTTATTATTGGGGAAATTGATTTTATATCATTGTTAGCACTGCTGGCATCAGTGTACCATTAGACAATTAAAGCTCTCAAAGGCACACCCTGGCTTATAAAAAGATGTAGAGGTGCAGTTACAAGTTACTGACATGACATAAATCACTGTCCACAACTCTTTAAAGAAAAAAAAAAGTTTTGGTGAAACAAAGAAATGTACCCAAGACCAGTTTGCCCTTTGCGACCTTGGAGCGGCATGCTCAGACAGTAGTGGTGTAAATGTTGTCAGCAGACACTGTGTGTGAGGTCAGCTGTGGATCTGAGGGGTGGGACAGCATGCAGGCCTTAAACAGATCATGTTAGTTTGGCAAACCATCTGAAACCTTAGCTTCTCAGAAGGTCAAATAACACTGCTGCTCAGCTCTGCAGCAACCATGACAGTTCAACAGCATTTAGGAGTTTTATTCTGAAAATCTGTAAGCACCATTATATCACTGCCACTCTTTTGGTGTTTTAAATTCTTGCTGTAAAAATTTGTTATATTCTACTGTTTACTGATCAGTATTTGAATGGTGTAGGTATATTATGAATAAAAATATACCGAATTATTATTACGTCTAATAAACCCCACGCATGTAATTTTCTGACTTGTGACTTGTTTGCAACTTTTAATTTGAAATAAACCTACAAGTTGCAAACCACAACAGATCCAACTGATTTATGCAACACGTTTAAAGTGGTTTAATAGCGGATATGGTGAAACTAACGACCGCAGTGAAGTTAGTTTCAAGTTGGATATTCGATATTCGAGCTCCGCGGAGTAAGCGGCGTTTAGCTCAAGGT